TCTAGGGAGCTGACTTTTCTAGTGTGCTTACCTGTTTTGCATCTCTCAAGGATGTGCCATGAAGCTGTAGCCAGGTGGAATTCTACCACAGCCCCGACATGAACATCTGATGGCATTTGCTGGGTTGGAGCCTAGACAAAAACATGAAGAACCATGGCTGCTGCCTGAGCCCATCATGCTGTAATTATAGAAAGCCTTCTAAGGGAAGAATATGCTGGATATTTTTCAGATAAGTACCCCTTTTATAAAAAAATCCTCCAAGTTAGCCCTCATTTTCCATGTAAGGAAACAGAGGCTTTGAGATAGTGTCTGTCTAAGAGACAAAGCCAGGACTTGATCCTGTCTTGAAAATGTAAAATGTAGTACTTTTTCCATTAAAGGTAGACAAGCACTAAGGGATAGGTTTTGGCTTAGTATCAGAATACATTTTTAAAAGCTGTATAAGAATTGAACGGGCTGCACTAGGGGATATGGAATTCTCCAGGCTAGATGAGTTTGAGCAAAGGTTGAACAAGCTCCTGAAAAATGTGTTGCTAAGGAATTCTAGTATCATATCGGGGTTGGACTCAACTTTTTAAATTGCTTTTACCCTGAATTTTCACTTTCTGGGGAATATGAGAATTTTAGGTTTTCTCTGGTTCTGTACTTTTCCACTGAAGTGAAAAAATAAAAAGACCTTTTTATAAAGGCTTGGAAGGGGGCATAAAGAGCATTCCAGTGTGGCACCTTCATTTGCAAATGAATATGCAGGCCCAGAGAGACTGAGTTAGTGGTGAAGCTAAGGCTAGAACCCAGGCCTCCTGTTTCTTCCCCAGATGACTTGCATCACAGGGGTCTGTTCTTAGTGAGTGGGCTAGCATGAACCCAGCAGTCAGAGCCAGAAACCTGTTTGTCACATTGGATTCCTTCCTCATCCCTCATACAGAAGTAGCCATCAAGTCCTTTAGATTCCTCTTCCTTCGTGTTTCTTAGTCCTCTTCTTATACTGTTTCTATATTGATGGAGCCACCATTAGCCCTCGTAAAGTGATGAGCTCATCTGACCAGATCAGGCCCTTTCAGTGGATCACTACTCATCCCAGGAAAAAGTCAAAACTCCTATCTTGAAGGCTCTTCATGCCTCTGCTTCATCTCCAGCCTCATACTCCCTGTCCCAAACTGTCTCTGTACTACTCCAGCTGAACAGAATTACCTGTAGTGTTCTCTCACCTCTAGGCCTTTGGACCTGCAAAGTGCTCCTCAGACTGTCTCCTATGGCTCCTTTCCTTCCATTCTTCACGACTGGGCCTTGTTCTAGGACATATCTGTATCTCTTATGGGCTTGGAACATTTCCTCTATGTTCCCACGGCCTCCTATATGATATTCTTCACACATAGTATAGTATTTATTAATACTGCATTGCAGGTTCACAAATGCAAACCCCTTAAGAAAGGTAGGCAGGAAAAGTAAAGGAATAAAGTGGCCTAGAATATAACAGCAATTGAAGAATCAGAGAGCACATTCTCTGTTGGAGAAGGCAATCAGAGAAGCACATTCTCTATTCCATTCCACTCAAGTTATTTTCATTTATAAATGTGGGCCTAGTGGTGTCAGTTCTTCCCATTCTTCCAAAACAGCCAGAAATCTTCATTTTCATGAAAGTTAAAAAACCTTGGTAACTACAGTAAATGTTAAAATTACTGAGACAAATAAAACATGTCTCCAGGTAGATTTTTGCCAATTTGCAACTTCTACATCCTCACTGTGTGTTTACATGTTTTATTTCTTCCAACTGATCTGTACCTGGACCGTAAGAATGTCTGTGCTGTATCCCCAGCACAACTCCTGGCACATACCCGGCAAGGAAAGAATGATTCCATGAATCCAGAGCAAAGGTAGCGGTACCATGGCATGCTGCAAAAAAAGATTCAAGTTTCTGAAAGGATTTTATATTTGCTTTGAGATAATTGAACTCAGCATACACAATTATGGAGAAGAAAGGTACACACCTACCCATGGCCAACTTCTTGTCTTGTCTTTTTTTTTTTTTTTTTTTTTTTTTTGAGACGGAGTCTTGCTCTCTTGCCAGGCTGGAGTGCAGTGGTGCGATCTCAGCTCACAGCAGGCTCTGCCTCCCTGGTTCCAGCGATTCTCCTGCCTCAGCCTCCCGAGTAGACTAGCTGGGATTACAGGCACATGCCATCATGCCCAGCTAATTTTTGTATTTTTAGTAGAGATGGGATTTCACCATGTTGGCCAGGCTGGTCTCAAACTGCTGACCTCAGGTGATCTGCCCACCTCGGCCTCCCAAAGTGCTGGGATTACAGGCGTGAGCCACCACACCCAGCCAACTTCTTGTCTTAACCACTCAGGTTAGAAGAAATTACCTGTGGGCAGCTTGAGGGCTGTGCTAACTACAAACTAACTGAGATGCTTTAATGATTAAGACACAGTACTCAGTATAGTTATGTGAAGAAACAGCTTCTCTTCAAGCTCTACATATTTCCATCATTGACCATGTGCACCAGGTTCAAAAGTAGGGGCTATGTATTAGCAAGTTTTCTTAAAAGTTTAATAATGTCACTGACAGATACTTCTGTCTCTAAGAAGTTTGCACTAAGTTCTCTTTAATTGGAGACAACTCAGGAACAATGATTACACCCACACTGAATTCAACACCCATTGGAGCTGTCTCACTTTACATTTGACAAAAAAAAAAAAAGACTGCATCACTAGAGAAAACAGTCTGAATTTTATCAAACATCCCTCTTAGCTATACAGAGGGCTGGCTTTATGAGCTGAGGGAACAGATCTAGAAGGATCTGCCATCTGACAAGTGAAAGGGCTGTGGAAAGGGCACCAAGCAGATCCTTCCAAGACTTCAGTGCTTGGTGTCGGGTCTGTGAAGCACTCACTCCCGTTTGCTTCTAGGGAGCAAGGAGGTGTATGCCATAAAATGATCAAGACACAGTGCTGGGTTCTAATCCTATGTCTGCCACTTACTTGGTGAACTTGGAAAAAAATAAATCCCTTCACTTTCCATACTGTTTCAGCTTTTCTTGCCAAGCCACATCTTAAGTTGCTGTCCAGTCTATGGATTGGTCCCTGTAGGTAAGAAGCCTAACTATATAGTCAGGTGGCAGGATCATGTGAAGCAGAAATCATCTTTCCACTGCTGCTGCTCCAATGATGGCTGGGGTGAAGCGATTTTATTTAGTTATGGCTGTGATAAATACCAAAGCTAGTAAATGTCTAGTTAATAGAGCTGCCAAGTAAATGTTTTTTCAGTGAATTAATGAACCTTCCATTTTTTAAGACTCAGCTAAAATGTCATCTCCTTAGTGATGTCTTCCCTAATTTTCCTTCCATCCTAGTAGGATAAATTAGTGTTTTCTTTGTGCCACCACTGGACGTAGTAACTATTATAATATTAGCATTGTATCATTATTGTTTACTTGTCTTTCTCTCATACAACATAATTCCTAAGAGCAGGAATTGTAACATTCATCCTTATTCCCCCAGGGCCCAACAATAACTGGTTATAAGAAAATTAGTAATAGGCTGTCTGCAAATGGATATGAAAGAAGATTACTGAATAAATGAGTGAGATAGTTCCTTTGGGCTCCAACATTCTATGACTCTTTGAAATAATAAGCTGCTATATTAAGACATAAAATGAAACTAGTTGGCTTTACACAGTATCCCCATTAGTAGAACGAAAAGGACAACAGTTGTTTAATGTATTGAGTCCTTACTAAATGCCACGCAGTGAGTTAATACTTTCTATGAATTGCCTCATTTAATACCTACAGTGACTCCAGGTACTGATAATGTTATCCTGATCTTACATATGAGAACAGTGAAACTAAGCAATTAGACAAATGCCCAATCAGTGAGTGGCAGCAGTTGCAGTTCAAAGTCAAGGCTATTTGACACCAAAGCCCATAGTTCTTTAAAAAGAAAGAAAAATTAAAAATAAGGTGATGCTGATAACTTGTAATTCTCTCAGTCTATTCTAAGGCTTCACAAAGGCCATCTGGGTATTTAGTAGAACAAAGACTATCTGAGCCAGTAGGAACCTTTAAAGGGCATCTAGTCCAGCACAAACATTTTACAGTTGAATTTTTTTTTTTTAAACAGTCTCTCACTGTCACCCAGGCTGGAGTGCAGTCGTGCCATCTTGGCTCACCGCAACCTATTCCTCCCAGGTTCAAGTGATCCTCCTGCTGCCTTAGCCTCCCAAGTAGCTGGGACTACAGGCTCGTGACACCACGCCCAGCTAATTTTTGTAGTTTTTTTTTTTGAGACGGAGTCTCGCTCCGTCGCCCAGGCTGGAGTGCAGTGGCGTGATCTCGGCTCACTGCAAGCTCCACCCCCCAGGTTCACGCCATTCTCCTGCCTCAGCCTCCCGTGTAGCTGGGACTACAGGCGCCTGCCACCACGCCCGGCTAATTTTTTGTATTTTTAGTAGAGACGGGGTTTCACCGTGTTAGCCAGGATGGTCTCAATCTCCTGACCTCGTGATCCGCCCGTCTCGGCCTCCCAAAGTGCTGGGGCTACAGGCCTGAGCCACTGCGCCCGGCTAATTTTTGTAGTTTTAATAGAGATGTGTTTCACCACGTTGGCTAGGCTGGGGTTGAACTCCTGACCTCAAGTGATCCGCCCACCTCAGTCTCCCAAAGTTTTTGGATTCCAGGTGCGAGCCATGGCACCTGGCCTATAGTTGAAATTCGAAGTCCAGAGAGAACGATCTGGCTCCAGTCTCAGGGTTGGTTAGTAGAACAGCCTGTCTAGAACCCAACTCCCAGGACATACTCTTACTGTTCCTGTTACTCAAATGTTCCCTCAGTTCATTCACTACATTATTAAATTTCTGTCTCCTCTTTTTTTTCTTTTAACACCCTCAAGGACAGGGACCTTGTCTTGGTCATCCCTGCATCCCAAGAGCCTAGCACAGCCTGGCATGAGCAGGTGTCCAAAAATGCTTAAGGAAGGCTGGTTTAGAGAATGGTGAGTGACAGTCACAGGCAGAGGTACTTAGTGATTTATTCTCCGAGTCTCAAGGCTCCATCAGCAGGTGGAATGGAAGACACCTCCCACCCTGACCCCTTGGGCAACCAAGGCATTATACTCCTTCACTGCCTGCTCTGTCTGGAGGACCCGCACATCAATGCCATGTTTCTTGAGGTACTCCACAGTTGATGAAGGCACCTGGGAAGGTGGAAAAGAGATGAGTAAGTAGGGGGAAAGGCCCCCCAGGGTTTCCTTTACTGCCATGAGGCAGGTGTACTCTACAGAATTAGACGTTGACAATCGCCACTTCACGATCACTCAGTGTATCACCAGTTCAAAATTGGGCAGGGAGCCCCATTGAGTCAAAAAGCCCTCTTTGACAGAGGTATCATAATACCCAAGCATAAAGCTCAAGTGAAATGGAAATGAAAGAACATGGAATTTGCAGTTAGCCTTGGATTTACATCTTTACTAGCACTGTAACCTTGGGTAAGTAAATTAAGTTATCTGAGTCTTTGTTTTCATGTCTGTAAATTAGGGATATTAACACCTAGCTCCCAGGGTTGGTATGACAACTAGCTGAGCTAAGGGTATGTGAAACATCTACCTTGGTGTGCAAGCTCCATAAATGTTAAATGTTTGAGGTAGTCTAAACTGAGTCTAAATGTCTTCTTTGCCGCATACTAAGAAATGTTAGGCTAGCTCTTTAAAGTCTCCCAGCCCCAATTTCTTCACTTGTAAAATAGGTATAATAGTGCTTACATCACAGGGTTGGTGTGAGGATGAAATTGACTCATGTATGTACACTGCAGCTCAAAAGTCTTCTCAGAAAGGCCTTTCTTGCTCACCCCATAGTAGCCCCGCATAAGTCACCATTTTCTTCGCTGTTTATTATTATCTGAAGTTGTCTAGTTTTTTATTATCCATGAGGGGCATGAACCTTGTTTGTCTTGTTTATCACACCATCCCCAGTGCCTAGAATAGTGCTTTACCCATAGAAAATGCTTAATAAATATTTGTAAATGAATTTATATAAAAGATGTTATTAATAGTGACACCTATTATTAGATGATATTTTCTCAACTCTCCTTGTCCTGAATATTTTTTAAAAATAGATTTTAATTAGACTCTGCCTCAGAAAGAACTCAAGTGAAATATTTTTTAATATGCCCTATATTTTCTATATATTTCAGATTTATAAAAGTAGCCTATCAGATAGGAATTATTGTATTGGCGAAAAAAAAAAAAAAAACTAGTTTAAATTTTTAAAATATAAATAGGCTGGGCATGGTGGCTCAAGCCTTTACTTCCAGCACTTCAGGAGGCCGAGGTAGGAGGATTGCTTAAGCCCTACTGATGAAAGTGCCCTATATACATAAAGCCCTAGATATAAGGGGCACCTTCATCAGTAGGGAACAGGACTGTAGGACATCTATAAAGGAAAGAATAAGGTAGGCCTCTATATGGAAGACTATACAAAATATAGTAATATAAGTGGGGGAAAAAGTTACAGAATACATATTTATGTAAAATGGTCATAAGTATATAAACGTATATCTATATATGTAAGTGTGTATATATTTGCAGATGCATTCAGAGAAGACTGGAGAAATATACACCAAATGTGAAGACGGGGAAGGGAATATCTCACCTTTTTACTTCTACATTTCTGCATTGAATTTTTAAATATTTTGCAATGAGCATGTATTATTTCTGTAAGAAAATTAAAAAATAAGCCAGGTGTGGTGGCTCACACCTGTAATCCCAGCACTTTGGGAGGCTGAGACAGGTGGATCACAAGGTCAGGAGATCAAGGCCATCCTGGCTAACACAGTGAAACCCCATCTCTACTAAAACTAAAAAAAATTAACCGGGCGTGGTGGCAGGGGCCTGTAGTCCCAGCTACTCGGGAGGCTGAGGCAGGAGAATGGGGTAAACCTGGGAGGCAGAGCTTACAGTGAGCCAAGATGGCACCACTGCACTCAGCCTGGGTGACAGAGCAAGACTCCATCTCAAAAAAAAAAAAAGAAAATTTAAAAATAGGCCAGGCGTGGTAGCTCACATTTGTAATCCTAGCACTTTGGGAGGCCAAGGCGGGAGATCATTTGAGTTCAGGAGCTCAAGACCAGCCTGGGCAACAATAGTGAGACCCCATCTATATTTTTTAAAAAGGAAAAATAAAATTACATTTTTTTCTGAAGAGGGGAAAAACATAAATGTGTCCAAGAAAAGAAAAATTAGAAGTACTATAAAATATACTATGAGGATAGAAAGTATTATTAAAATGTAAAGAACCAAATAGTGATCCTTGTAGAACTTGAGAGATTCTGAGAAATAGTTGAAATGACACTGTCTCAGGGTTAGGTAGACTGGAGAGCCCAACGCTGATGAGGCAGAGGAATGTATGCAGCCATTGCTATCCTGGGTCAGCAAAACGAGGGTACATGATATATAAAGATGACCTCCCAAGAAGGACAAATCTGTAAGACAAAGGTCCAAGAGATCCCCACCTGTCCTCAGAAATGCTGTGCATACCAGCACCTACCTTCAAGGCCTCACTCATCCCTCGACCAATCACAAGAGTCTGTACACCCTTCTCAACAACTTCCTTCACATCTGCAGGCTGCACACCAGGAGAATGCTGGATGTGGAAAGAGAAAGTAGACAGTTACCTGCTCTCAATCTTTCATTGCAATAGGCATTCTTGTGGGATTCATTCATTCAAGAAATGTCTACTGAGGTTCACTTTGTGCCAAGCATCACTCATAGGCTCTTTAAGGCACTTAGGGAGGCTGACGAGGCAGGATCCCTTGAATCTAGGAGTTCAAGACCAGCCTGGGCAATATAGGGAGACCCTGTCTCTACAAAAAATAAAAAATTAGCTGGGTATGGTGACTTAGGCCTGTAGTCCCAGCTACTCAGGAGAGCTGAGTTGGGAGGATTGCTTGAACCTGGGAGGTCAAGGCTGCAGTGAGCCATGACTGCACCACTGCACTCCATCCTGGGCAACAGAGTGAGACCCTGTCTCAAAAAAAAAAAAGAAAAGAAAAGAAAAAAGAGATAAATCAAGGAAATCAGGGAAAGAAGGCATTCCAAGTACAGGAAAAAGCATTTAAAAAGGCTCAGGACCTTTTGGCTGGAACAACCATCTTCCAGTAATTTGCCAAAATGAAAAATACAAAGGGAAAGAGGAGATGCCCCCAATATATGTCCTCTAGGCCTTTTAGAAAATATGGAGTTGTTCCTTTGGCCACATGGTACATGTGAATCTATAAGACAGGTGATATTGTAGACATCAAGGGAATGGGTATACTGTTCAAAAAGGAATGTCCCACAAATGTTACCATGGCAAAACTGGAAGAATCTACACTATTACCCAACATGCTGTTGGCATTGTTGTAAACAAGTAAGTTACGGGCCATTTTCTTGCCACGAGAATTAATGTGCCTATTGAGCACATTAAGCACTCTAAGAGCCAATATAGCTTCCTGAAATGCATGAAGGAAAATGTTCAGTAAAAGGAGGAAGCCAGAGAGAAAGGTACCTGGGTTCAAATGAAACACCAGCCTGCCCTGCCCAGAGAAGCACACTGTGTAAGAACCAATGGGAAGAAGCCTGAGTTGCTGGAGCCTATTCCCTGTGAATTCATGCTATAATTTGTGTAAAAAAAAAAAAAAAAAAAACCTCTGGAGTGTACATTTAAAAAAAAAAAAAAAAAAAAAGTGGCCAGGTATGGTGGCTCATGCCTGTAATCCTAACACTTTGGGAGGCTGAGGTGGACAGACCACCTGAGGTCTGTAGTTTGAGACCAGCCTGGTCAATATGGCGAAACCCCGTCTCAACTAAAAATACAAAAATTAGCTGGGCGTGGTGGCATGTGCCTGCAGTCCCAGCTACTTGGGAGGCTGAGGCAGGAGAATCACTTGAACCTGGGAGGCAGAGGTTGCAGTGAGCTGAGATCACACCATTGCACTCCAGCCTAGGCAACAAGACTGATACTTCATCTCCAAAAAAAAAAGCAGCTAGGCACGGTGGCTCATGCCTGTAATCCCAGCACTTTGGGAGGCCGAGGTGGGCGGATCACAAGGTCAGGAGATCGAGACCATCCTGGCGAACATGGTGAAACCCTGTCTCTACTAAAAATACAAAAAATTAGCCGGGCGTGGTAGCGGGCACCTGTAGTCCCAGCTACTTGGGAGGCTGAGACAGGAAAATGGTGTGAATCCTGGAGACGGAGCTTGCAGTGAGCTGAGATCTTGCCACTGCACCCCAGCCTGGGCAACAGAGTGAGACTCTGTCTCAAAAAAAACAAAAAAAAGGCTCAGAGGAAAGAAAAAGACTAGAAGAACAGTTAATTCAGTACAACTTGTATGTAGAGTGACAGCTGAGGTGGGAAAAGAAGGCACTTGCGTAGCATGCTAAAATTTTGACTTTAGAAAAATTTCCTAAGAATCTCTATATTGTTACTTTTTTCTGAACTTCCTAACCTTCCCAGCTAACTCCAGGAAACTTCTTTTTATGCTTTAAAATCTACCTATCACCCTGAAAAGTCTTCCCAGTCTTCCAGGCACATTTAAGGTGAAGTGTTTAATAAAGATGAATTGAGCATTAAAGGATGGTGGCTTCTTGAACTACCTCTATGTCAGCAGAGGGGATATGGGAGTTAGAGTTTGGGAACTACCAGCCCAACCTACCGGTCTCTGCCTGGTAGGCATCTGCACAAGGACAATGCTTTTAGCACTGAAGCTCTCAGAGACAAAGCATTCCTTTCCTGACCCATATACCTCTATCCTTTCATTCATTCATCTAGCATTTACTGAGAACTTAACTCTGTGCTGTGTCTCAGTATTTCTAAGCAATAGAAATACTGAGATGAACTAAATGTTCCATGGAGTTTCATTCAGGTAAGGTTAGTGAAAATGTGCAAATATTTATAGTAGGATGAGAAGAAATGGAGTTGAGGATCTCAGAAGACAGAGTGAATAAACCCAAATGGGAAACTGTCATTGAAGACATGCTGTTTCAACTGGGTCTCGAAGTATGAACATGAATAGGCCTTGAAGCAGTGGTTGTAGAAGGGGTACATTCTAATGGTAGTGATGGTATAGGAAAAGAGCTGTTGAAATTCTCAAAGAGATAACAAATGGGCCAAAGAAGGGTTTTCCAGTTCAGGAAGATGAGGCGTCATGGAGATAGGACTAAAATTTATATATTTATGAAAGGTATGGGGACCAGGCACAGTGGCTCACGCCTGTAATCCCAGCACTTTGGGAGGCCAAGGAGGGCGGATTACCTGAGGTCAGGAGTTCAAGACCAGCCTGGCTAACATGGTGAAACCCTGTCTCTACTAAAAATACAAAAATTAGCCAGATGTGGTGGTGTGTGCCTGTAATTCCAGCTACTCAGGAGGCTGAGGCAGGAGAATTGCTTGAACCCGGAAGGTGGAGGTTGCAGTGAGCTGAGATCGTGCCACTGCATTCCAGCTGGGCGACAAGAGCGAAACTCTGTCTCAAAAAAAAAAAAGAAACGTATGGGGAGGATGAATATGAGTTTTCATTAAATCCTGTAATAATAATGTCTTACATATTTACATGTGCAGTTTTATTTATTTAATTTTTTTTTTTTAGATGGAGTCTCGCTCTCTCACCCAGAGCTCACATTCTAGTAAAATGAAACAAGGCCACTGACTGCTGGAAATCCAAGTGTAAGGTCATAGGAGACTGCAGACCCATAATCCTCTGGAGATTAGACTAGAGACAGCCACAGCCCATTGGAGTGGCTGGATCAATGGAACTCAAGTGATGAATTGGGCTGCTGCTGCTTTACTGAAGGCTCACAGTGTCATGTACAAAGCAATGAAAGATAACTGCAAAGGCCTGTGGATCCAAGCATTGGCAGTGATTACTCACAATTTTGTGCAGAGGCCTGGGATTGGAGCATGAGACTGTTATTGAGGCATCCTCAACCTGCCACTAGCAATTCCTGTGCTGTTTCCAATCCCTCAGGGCAAATGACTAGGCTCTTGTTCCTATTGAGTGTCTGATTCTGTTCCTCTACTTTAAGAGGCTTTCTGTCACACGACCTAAAGTGGTAAAAGCTTACTGTTTTTTCTGTGGGAGAAGCTATTAATTATGGAAAAATGTCCAGCTAATATCCATTATGCTGGCTAAGCAACAAGATGGCATCCTATCTGTCTTGAACGTTTCTCCCTATTTCATGTTAACTTTAAAAAGAAAACATTCCTAAACTACACTTCCAAAGAAGTATTTCCTTCTGCCAAAATTAAGTGAGCACAAATGGGTAGTAGCAATGCTATCATCTTGCTGTATTGCTGATAAAAGCAGATTCTGTGAGTGAAGGTTAAAGGATCTCTGGAATCTATCCCCTGTGGACGCTGCCTGAGTCACACTGTCATTATTGCTTGTCTGAATTAACAGGCTCTTAAATAATCTTGCTGCCTCTGCCAGGGCAGAGGCCTGTTTTTGTGCTACAGGCCCCTCTGGCAATCTATTGAGGCCGATGGTCCCCTTCTCAGAATAATGTTTTAGAATATACAAAAGAAGATATGTAAGATTATAGAGGAAACATTTCTTACAAGTGGAATTATCAAAATATTAACAAACTTTTGGTCTAGTATTATATGTTTCTTTATTAGTTTAGGACAATGGAAATCTTTTCCAAAAGTCTGCTAGCCAACTTACCCTCCCATCTCATAATGGCAGATGACTAGTTTTTCTTTCAAAATCTATTCTGCCTATTTTCTGGGGCACATAGCTGATAAGCTAGACACTCCGTTTTCTGTCCTTCTTGCAGTTAAGTGTGGTCATGTGACTGTGCTGTCCCTAATATAAAATTCAATGGAATGTGAGCAGAAGAAACGATTTCATATCTAGGTTTGGCATGAGCTTTTCTTCTCTTTCCTCTTCCTTGCAAGTTAGAGCCCTGCCATGCCCAGAACTGGTTCCTACAATTCAAATGTTCTAGGAGATGGTAGAGCAATAAAAAGGAAAAAACCAAGGTCCCTAAATGAGCCTGTGCTATTCACATCTCTCTCAACCCACCAAAAGTTTGGACTGGCCACAATAATTTATCAGAGAAAGACACTTCTATCTTCTTTATGCTACTGAATTTTGAGACTTCTATTACAACACCTTGGCCTTCACACTAAGTAATCACGCTAAGTAATCCATTACTAAACTAAACCATGACTAGTTAGGCAAATCATGAGCTGTAGAATAAATATTGGGGACTCAACCACATTAGACACTATGTCTAATTTGCAAAATATATATAAGAGAGCCATATTATAGGGGCCTTTACCTTTTGGGGATTCAGCTATATGGTCCAGAGAAGGAGAGAGTAAGAACTATGGAAATAGAGTAATTCAGTCATTCTTTTTTGTTTTTGAGACAGGGTCTCACTCTCTGTCACTGAGGCTGGAGGGCAGTGGTGCCGTCAGGGCTCACTGCAGCCTCAACCTCCCAGGCTCAAGTGATCCTCCCACCTCAGCCTCCCAAGTAGCTGGGAATACAGATGCATGCCCCCGTGCCTGGCTAATTGTTTAACTTTCTGTAGCGACGCGGTCTTTCTCTATTGCCCAGGTTTGTCTTGAACTCCTAGGCTCAAGCAATCCTCCTATCTTGGCCTCCCAACATGTTGAGATTACAGGTGTGAGCCACTGTGCCTGGCAATTCAGTCATTCCATTCAAGGAACATATGCCCTGGATTGTACATGAGATAGCAGACAAGTATCTACTATTCCTTCTATGTCAATTTCATAGTTGCTGCTTCCAATATGAACCTTTGACTCACTGAGTGTATTTCTAGTGTTTAGAACTACAGTATGCATTTTTTCATATAATATACACCCTAAATGCAAGGCAACTAATTAATCTGGTGGTTCTCAATCAAGAATAACCACTATGTTCTTTTTTTTATTTTTTATTTGTTTAGATGGAGTCTCGCTCTGTTGCCCAGGCTGGAGTGCAGTGGCTTGATCTCGGCTCACTGCAACCTCCGCCTCCCAGGTTCAAGCGATTCTCCCTGCCTCAGCCTCCAAGTAGCTGGGATTACAGGCGTGGGCCACCACGCCTAACTAATTTTTGTATTTTCAATAGAGACGGGCCCAAGAATAATCATTATGTTCTAACATTAAAGGGATCATCTTGGCCAGGAGCGGTGGCTCATGCCTGTAATCCCAACATTTTGGGAGGCCAAGGCGGGTGTATCACCTGAAGTCAGGAGTTCGAGACCAGCCTGGCAAACATGGTGAAACTCCACATCTACTAAAAATATCAAAATTAGCTGGGCGTGGTAGCAGGCACCTGTAATCCCAGCTACTCGGGAGGCTGAGGCAGGAGAATCGCTTGAACGTGGGAGGCAGAGGTTGCAGTGAGCCAAGATTGTGCCACTGACCTCCAGCCTGGGCGGCAAGAGTGAAACTGTTGCATAAAAAAAAAAAAAAAAAAAAAAGGATCATCTTAAAGGATTTGAACTATTTGCAAATTTTACCATAATTGCCAACTTTAAAATATAATCCCTTAGTAAGATTCAAGTCCACCATATTAGCTGCAATAATAAGAGTTATAGGGGTAGGCAGAGGGGCTCACACCTGTAATCTCAGTGCTTTGAGGGGCTGAGGCAGGAGGGTCACTTGAGGCCAGGAGTTTGAGACCAGCCTGAGCAACATAGTGAGAGTTTGTCTCTATAAAAAAATCAGTCAGGTGTGGTGGCTCATGCCTACAATCCCAGCACTTTGGGAGGCCAAGAGTGGGTGGATCTCTTGAGGCCAGGAGTTCAAGACCATCCTGGCCAACATAGCGAAACCCTGTCTCTACTAAAATTATAAAAATTAGCCAGGCGTAGTGGCACATGCCTGTAATCCCAGCTACTCAGGAGGCTGAGGCACAAGAATTGGTTAAACACGGACTACCCTCTTTGGGTCCCCTCCCTTTGTATGGGAGCTCTGTTTTCACTCTATTAAATCTTGCAGCTGCACTCTTCCATGTCCACCACTGCTGTTTGCCGCCGTCACAGACCTGCCGCTGACTTCCATCCCTCTGGATCCAGCAGGGTGTCCCCTGTGCTCCTGATCCAGCAAGGTGCCCATTGCCGCTCCCGATCGGGCTAAAGGCTTGCCATTGTTCCTGCACGACTAAGTGCCCAGGTTCGTCCTAATTGAGCTGAACACTAGTCACTGGGTTCCACGGTTCTCTTCCGTGACCCATGGCTTCTAATAGAGCTATAACACTCACAGCATGGCCCAAGATTCCATTCCTTGGAATCTGTGAGGCCAAGAACCCCAGGTCAGAGAACACAAGGCTTGCCACCATCTTGGAAGCAGCCCACCGCCATCTTGGGAGCTCTGGGAGCAAGGGCCCCCCGGTAACATTTGGCGACCATGAAGGGACCTCCAAAGCAATGGGAAACGTTCCCCATAAGGCAAAAACGCCCCTAAGATATATTCTGGAGAACTGGGACCAATTTGACTCTCAGACACTAAGAAAGAAATGATTTATATTTTTCTGCAGTACCGCCTGGCCACGATATCGTCTTCAACGGGGAGAAACCTGGCCTTCTGAAGGAAGTATAAATTATAACACCATCTTACACCTAGACCTCTTTTGTAGAAAAGAAGGCAAATGGAGTGAAGTGTCACATGTACAAACTTTCTTTTCATTAAGAGACAACTCGCAATTATGTAAAAAGTGTGATTTATGCCCTATAGGAAGCCCTTAGAGTCTACCTCCCTACCCGGCGTCCCCCCAACTCCTTCCCCAACTAATAAGGAATCCCCTTCAACCCAAACGGTCCAAAAGGAGATAGACAAAGGGATAAACAATGAACCAAAGAGTGCCAATATTCCCCAATTATGCCCCCTCCAAGCGGTGGGAGGAGGAGAATTCGGCCCAGCCAGAGTGCACATACCTTTTTCTCTCTCAGATTTGAAGCAAATTAAAATAGACCTAGGTAAATTCTCAGATAACCGTGATGGCCATATTGATGTTTTACAAGGGTTAGGACAATCCTTTGATCTGACATGGAGAGATATAATGTTACTACTAAATCAGACACTAACCCCAAATGAGAGAAGTGCTGCCATAACTGTAGCCTGAGAGTTTGGCGATCTCTGGTATCTCAGTCAGGTCAATGATAGGATGACAACAGAGGAAAGAGAACGATTCCCCACAGGCCAGCAGGCAGTTCCCAGTGTAGACCCTCACTGGGACACAGAATCAGAACATGGAGCTTGGTGCTGCAGACATTTGCTAACTTTCGTGCTAGAAGGACTAAGGAAAACTAGGAAGAAGCCTGTGAATTATTCAATGATGTCCACTATAACACAGGGAAGGGAAGAAAATCCTACTGCCTTTCTGGAGAGACTAAGGGAGGCATTGAGAAAGCATACCTCTCTGTCACCTGACTCTATTGAAGGCCAACTAATCTTAAAGGATAGGTTTATCACTCAGTCAGCTGCAGACATTAGAAAAAACTTCAAAAAACTTAGAAACCCTATTGAACTTGGCAACCTCGGTTTCTTATAATAGAGATCAGGAGGATCAGGCAGAACTGGATAAACGGGATAAAAAAAAAGGCCACTGCTTTAGTCATGGCCCTCAGGCCAGCAGACTTTGGAGGCTCTGGAACACAGAAAGCCTAGGGAAATTGAATGCCTAATAGGGCTTGCTTCCAGTGCAGTCTACAAGGACACTTTATAAAAGATTGTCCACATAGAAATAAGCTGCCCCCTCGTCCATGCCCCTTATGTCAAGGGAATCACTGGAAGGCCCACTGCCCCAGGGGACGAAGGTCCTCTGAGTCAGAAGCCACTAACCAGATGATCCAGCAGGACTGAGGGTGCCCAGGGCAAGTGCCAGCCCATGCCATCACCCTCACAGAACCCCGGGTATGCTTAACCATTGAGGGCCAGGAGGTTAACTGTCTCCTGGACACTGGTGCGGACTTCTCAGTCTTACTCTCCTGTCCCAGACAACTGTCCTCCAGATCTGTCTCTATCTGAGGGGTCCTAGGACAGCCAGTCACTAGATACTTCTCCCAGCCACTAAGTTGTGACTGGGGAACTTTACTCTTTTCACATGCTTTTCTAATTATGCCTGAAAGCCCCACTCCCTTGTTAGGGAGAGACATTCTAGCAAAAGCAGGGGCCATTATACACCTAAACATAGGAAAAGGAACACCCGTTTGTTGTCCCCTGCTTGAGGAAGGAATGAATCCTGAAGTCTGGGCAACAGAAGGACACTATGGATGAGCAAAAAAATGCCTGTCCTGTTCAAATTAAACTAAAGGATTCTGCCTCCTTTCCCTACCAAAGGCAGTACCCTCTTAGACCCGAGGCCCAACAAGGACTCAAAAAAATTGTTAAGGACTTAAAGCCCAAGGCCTAGTAAAACCATGCAATAGCCCCTGCAATACTCCAATTTTAGGAGTACAGAAACCCAGTGGACAGTGGAGGTTAGTGCAAGATCTCGGGATTATCAATGAGGTCATTGTCCCTCTATACCCAGCTGTACCTAACCCTTACACTCTGCTTTCCCAAATACCAGAGGAAGCAGAGTGGTTTATAGTCCTGGACCTTAAGGATGCCTTTTTCTTCATCCCTATATATCCTGACTCTCAATTCTTGTTTGCCTTTGAAGATCCTTTGAACTCAACGTCTCAACTCACCTGGACTGTTTTACCCCAAGGGTTCAGTGATAGCCCCCATCCATTTGTCTGGGCATTAGCCCAAGACTTGAGCCAGTTCTCACACCTGGACACTCTTATTCTTCGGTATGTGGATGATTTACTTTTAGCTGCCTGTTCAGAAACCTTGTGCCATCAAGCCACCCAAGCGCTCTTAAATTTCCTCACTACCTGTGGCTACAAGGTTTCCAAACCAAAGGCTCAGCTCTGCTCACAGCAGCCTAAATACTTAGGGCTAAAATTATCCAAAGGCACCAGGGTCCTCAGTGAGGAACGTATCCAGCCCATACTGGCTTATCCTCATCCCAAAACCC